TGGGCTTCAACGACGCGAGGTGGGATGAGGTCAAGAGCAAGGTCGTGGAAGTGGGCAGCATTGCCAAGTTTGGGCAGAATCCGCACCTCAAGGCGATTTTGATGTCCACAGGGGAGAGGTTGTTGGTCGAGGCATCGAGGACTGACCGCATATGGGGCATCGGGTTCAAGGCGGATGAGGCTATGGTGAACCAGGCGAATTGGGGCGAGAATCGTTTGGGCAAAGCGCTAATGGAGGCGAGGAGGATCCTGAGAGAAGAAGAAGCTCAAGAGAGAATGGGAACGAAATCAAATAGCGAGGAAGATGTGGAAGAAGGAGAAAAGACTGGGGGTATTGCTCACGCCCAATACCTGCCCTGACAACATTGGCAAAGTCTATACACAACTATATCTGGTTCCAAGCAAACAGCTCTATACTTGAGCTCCGTTCGACTCCGCAAATCCGCTGTCAACCTTGGCTAGCATTCTCCTTGCATACACCCTCTTCGCCCACTTATAGGCCTCGACACCAGCCATAAAGATGAAAACATCGACAAACACAATCGCCCACTCCCAGCTGATTCCATGATGCATAAACACCACATGATCCAACACGGGTATGTACAGCGTCGGAAACACAACAAAAAAGACAACTGTCACAGACAAAAAGAGAAACTTGTTACCCCACAGATGCTGGCCCCAAGCCTTGAAACCCGCTGGCATGTAGAAGAGAGACCGGCGTGAATCAATAAGCTCCCATGCGAAGAGGAGGAAGATCCAGGTCATGGTCGTATAGCTCGTGGCACGAGCGCGGAATACGGGCTCGCAGGCTGTAGAGTAGGCGTTGTTGCACTCGATACCGAGGTTGCCGCCGTTGAAGCCGAATACAACCAGGGTGAAGGCTCCGAGGACGCAGCCTGCCATAATGAGTCCATAGACCACCATGTCGAGGATGAATTCGTGCGTGAAGACGCCGTATTTGAGCTGGGATATCATCGTCAGTATTCAGTTTACTACTTCCACCAACACATCAGAGTAGGACGCTCACATTTTGTGGCGGTCGTTTAAGAATGTCTGGCACCGCCTTCTCAAATCCAAGTCCAGTCTCACAGAAAGCACCCGTACCAAGTAACATCCACAGAATCTCCACAGGCGACAACAGAAAGACCGACGTATCAGTCTCGTCCTTGAACGCCAACCCCGTAAGCAGCGCAATCACAAATCCAATGTTTGCCGCCAGGACGTGGAGGATAAACTTTTGGATATTGTCAAAGATCCGGCGGCCTTCTTCGATGGCGTTCAGAATGGATGCAAAGTTATCATCCGTCAAGACGATGTCGGAAGACTCTTTCGCCACGTCCGATCCGGAGCCCATGGCGATGCCAATATCGGCCCGCTTCAGACTCGGGCTGTCGTTGACTCCATCGCCAGTCATGGCTACGTACCGACCGCGGCGGTGAAGCGCTTCAATCATTCTCACTTTGGTACTCGGTGCGCATCGCGCCACCACTAGAGGCAACTGCGGCAGGTCATCGATCTGGGCGTCAGTCAGGGCGTCAAAATCGTGTGCGGGCATGACCATCGCCTCGGCAACGTCGGCAGCGAGGAGCCGGAGCTTTTCGGGCGGCGGCAGGATGCCAACCTCTGTGGCGATGGCTCGGGCGGTCTGGGGGTGGTCGCCGGTGAGCATGTGGACGACGATGCCAGCTCCTTGGCACATCTCAACACTAGGCCGGGACTCGGGACGAGGAGGATCGTAGATACCGATGAGGCCGCGGAAGGTGAGATCAGTCTCGAAGTTGTTGCGATTTGGGGCTTTGCCGTCTGCAAATTGGGCTTCCGAAAGGTCACTGCTAAGAGTTCGATGTGCGAGCGCGAGAACACGTAGACCTTGGCCGGCCAGCACCTCCATGTTGGATATGATGTCTTCTCTGTAGCGGTCGGTCAGAGTGCGGGTATCGTCACCGTACGCGATAGTGCTGCAAGAGCTTAAGACGCGCTCGACAGCGCCCTGTAGGGTCATATTAGTCTATTATAGATATACGTTGATTGATGTGTGCAGCTTAGGCTCACCTTTGTGAAGATATGCATCTCTTCCGAGGCCACATCCTTGAAGATGACAGACATCTTTTTGACATCCGAGTCAAAGGGAAACTCTGCAATTTCTTTCCAAGAAGCTTCTGAGCCTTGGGACAGCTGCAATCTGTTCCAGCCAAACCGGGACGCAAACACCTCAATAGCAATCTCAGTGGGTGCTCCGCTAGCTGTCCACTCCCCAGACCTGGCGGGATCGTCTACGACCTGCTTCAACGTTGCCAGATTTGCAAGCGACGCCACATTCAAGAACCATTGCAGAGCAGGCTTCGTCGCAGGCTCGTGGTGCGTATCAATTGGCTCGGCCCGTAGATCGTGCTCTTTCTCGGAGACGGAGCCGATGTCCTCTGGTTGGCCAGCCGCAAAGTGGACTTCACCAGCAAAAGGATTGTATACGTCGTTCGTGGTGTGGACAGAGTACGTGCCGCAGCCCGGAAGCCATGCCTTTCGGACTACCATACGTCCTTGGGTAATCGTACCGGTCTTGTCTGAGCAGATATCTGAGATGTACGGTGGTTAGAGATTAAACGATGACGAGGCAAGATAGTCTCCGCCGAGGTCAATAGGAGATGGATCACTTACTGCTAACTCCTCCAAGCGCTTCCAGACTGGACAGATTCCGAACAATGACGTGTCTCTCAAGCATCTTCTTGGTGCCAGCAGCCATGGTGACAGTCAGGACCAGTAACAAAGAAACAGGAATCGTCCCAATCGCGGTAGTGACTGCGTAGATAATCACATCCTTGCGAGAATCAAACTTGTTGACGCCAAGAACAACGATGGCGCAGACAATAGCAAACAGAAACAGCCACAGAAATAACTGAGAGAGCTTCCTTTGCAATGGCGTGCCGATGGTAAGTCCCAGGAACTCACCGATCCACGATTTGGTAGCCGTGTATCCAGCGGCAAAGTACGCAAAGATCGAAGCGCTCCCATCCTCGTTGCGCTTCACCCGGGACTTATCTCCCGAGCCGCCGTTCAATGCACCAGCAATGAGACCAATCTCGGTAAACATGCCAGTAGCAAACACGACGCCGCGCCCGCGACCCTTCGTGATGACCGTGGAGCTGTACACCACATTAAGTCGATCCCCAGGGCCCATATCTTCGTCAAACACCGAGTTGGGCATCTTGGAGACAGGTGCGGACTCTCCCGTAAGTAACGCTTCGTCCGCCTCCAGGTTGACTGCCTCAATGAGTCTGATATCCGCCGGCACCGAGTCACCCGTGTTCAAGTCGATGATGTCTCCAGGTACTACGTCGGCCGTCTGTATCTCGATCGTCTTGCCGTCCCGTACAACCTTACATGTCGGCTTGCCGAGGTTCTTTAGCGAGTTGATTGTCTTCTCGGCTTGGAGGGTCTGGAAGAAGCCGATGAAGATGTTCAGGACGATGATGCCGCCTAGAATGCCGCCTTCGATCCAGGCTTGGATGCCGAAACTTGCGCCGAGTGCTAGTAGGAGGACCTATTTCAAGTTTTGATGGTTACCTCGTGTTGTTTTGCATTTCCACGAGCCAGACAAGCGAGGTTCTGGCTATTGTAGACTCGAGAGACAACTTACCAGAGTCATGGCGTTGAAAATCTGCTCGAGAAAGATTTTCAAAGGCTGAACGCCCTTTTGTTGACGAAGCTCATTGCGCCCCAATTCGGCCAACCGACGGATGGCATCGTCGGGGTCTAACCCTTGGGTTGCGTCGACATGGAGTTCTTCGAGAACCTGAGCAGCCTCCAAAGAGTGAGGTGGTCGAGAGAGAGGCTTGTTGGATTGTCCTGAGGCATGCTCCTGGAAGGAGTCTGCCGTCTTTTCGGTTGCTTTCATAGCTCAAGATCTGCTCAAGTTGCAAGTCTGCAATCAACTTTAAAGTCTGATGGGAAGGGAGCAATGCAACTCCGACTTTGGCTGTACGCCGTGATATTTGTAAAGCGGTATCTTTTCGACATCTTGGCCTCGACGCAAAATTCCTCGCTCTACTGGAAACTACGAAAGTCCAAATGCATCATAACGTTCACTCTGCTGGTCCCGAAAAGGCAACCAAGACTCAACGGCAACGACGTAGAGAGTTGAGGGCCCATTCTCTGCTTTTCTCATTCGTTGGTAGACTTTACTGGTGCTACCCAGCTGATGGAACCTGCGAGATGAGTCCGAATGTCCGGTTGCCATTACGTGGGCTGTACGTAACAAAATCCCAAGTCATTGGCTTGTTTCTAGACAGTATGAGAGAGTATAGAGTCAGTTGACTCGATTGTAGAAGGTTTGGCGAAAGACAAGCTGTCTTGACTGGGGCTAGAAAGATTACAAAGATGTTGCTGAAGTAGTCCGGGAGAAAGCCATTTTGCGTTCCATCATAGTGGACGGGAGCGACCCGGCAAGTGCATGTACGGCATGTAATTGACTTGCCTAATCGGGCAATCAACGTTTGAGCGCGGCTGACTCATGTGGGGAGCCTTCCCGCGCACGCAATGAGAATAAAGGTCTTGGGAGTCGATGATCTCCGGGTTGTGGGACATGAACGTGAGGCCTTCTTTTGTGAGGCCCGTGGAGGCGGGGAGACGCTAGGCGAAAAGAAGCAGCCAAGACGCAACCCAAGGCTTGTTTCCGCTTGATTCATGTTTGCTCCGAGATACTGAAGTCAGCAACACTATCCAGATCAAAGATCGTTAGCCTAAGCGACGGAAACAGCGTAACTTGCAGGCTTGCTACAGCACATCCCACAACATCGACTGAGAGTTTCCAGATTCTACCACGAATGATCGAACTAGCATGCCAATGATCAACTCTGCTTAGGAATCCAGTATACGTCCCGGTTTTCGTATTCCGCATCATCCCTGACCAGAACTTTATAGCTGTGTTTTACCAATCTCAAGGAGAAACACCATCAAACCCAGCGAAGACCCCCTTCACTTCAGCAACTTGAAGACGATGATGGATCACACCCCCATCAACCGCCTCATGAGCGGCGTAAACCTCCCCTCCCCATCCATAAGCTGCGCCGCAGGACTCACAAAGTCATCAGCGTAGTGTGCCATACACCCAAACCACCCATACTCGTCGATCCACTCCTTCTCGTCCATCCACCCGCTCAGTTCCTCCGTAAACGCCTCCACCTCGCCCGGGTCCCGACTGATAGACGCAATCTCCGACACGTTGAGCGGCAGCCCGTACCGCTCGTACATGGACGTCAAGTACCTCTTTGCATGCTCAACATCGCCGCTGTAATAGTGCACCCCAAGGAAATCTGGCCCCATTTTCTTCTTCTTCTTTTTCTCGTCCTCGTAGACAATCGCCATAAACTCCGCAAGCCACGCCTCGCCCCCGGGATCGCTAGCACACGCCGGCCCAACAAGCTTCTTGCCCCTCTTCTCCCGCAACTCGGGCACGACTTTGTCCAGCCACCAGGCCGCGGCGTCCGCCGGCGAGATGCCCTGCCGCTCCGGTTCGTTGAGGTAGTGGACCATCTCGGCGTCGGAGTCGCGGATCCAGTCCCACTCTTCCGTGTCCAGCTGCGCGCGCGTGCGGATCATGGGCCGGAAGGGGAGCCGGCCCTTGAGTTCGGGCGGGTACCATGCGTTCCAGTTGTGGACGGATTTGAAAGGGGTGACTGTAAGCGGCGCTCTTGCTTCTCTTGCTGCTGCTATGGGCTTATTGGCAGGGTCTGATGGTGATGTGGTTGTGAAGAGTTGATCGATTGCGTCTGGGCGGTCGCGGGTGTTGGTGTAGTCCCATAGGAGGCAGCGTTTTGAAGATTTGGGGGTTGCCATTTTGGGCAATTAATTATGCTGAATAGACTGACTACTGATCTAGGTATTGTGTTCTCTTGAGAAATGATTGATTTCTGAAAGAAAAATCTCGTGGAAATGAGGACTAGTGCTTGGCAATTTGTTGTTGATAATTGGCAGTCATCACCCGGAAGTGCAGTGCCGCTGCCTTACGTCACGGCCTCCCAAAACAAGTTCGCGGCCACCGGCTCCGATTTGGCAGAGACTCCGCCACGGCAACTTCGTCCACCTTACGCGTCCCCCAGAGGCTACTGACACCGGGGACATGGGTCATCAGTTATATCCAATGTTTTGGTCCATTGATATGATGACAAGAATTCTTCAGTAGCCTGGACGAGCACGGAAAATACCGCACAAGTTTTGAACAAAACGCTTTTCTCTTCCTTGATATATTTTGACAAATGGTGTAGACCCCAACACGAAACCGGACGCCCACTACTTTCTGTTGCGCTGCGGTCTCGCGTTCTTCTCCATGCGCTTCTGCTTCTCCCATCTCGCCTTCCTGATGTCCTCGACACCCTTGATCTCCTTGCGACTGCCCGCGCCGTCCTTGTACTGGCCGATGCGCTTCTCCTTGGCCTCGGCGATCCTCTTCTTCCGCACCTCGTAGTCGTCCCGGAACTTGTCGGCCTGCTTCGGCGCCTTCTCCTGCTTGTGCTTGTACTGCCGACCGGACGGCAGGTCCGGCAGGTTGCCCTTCTCCATGCCGCCCACCTGGATGCGCCCCAGCCGGTTGGCCTTGCGCCAGCGGTCGAACCGCCCGCTCTGGAAGCTGGCCGCGATCTTGACGCCGCTCTCGCCGCGCACGAACTTGGACCCCTTGGAGCCGTCCTCGTCGTTGGCCCGCGCCACGTACTTGTTCTGCTTCTTGTCCCAGCGCATGCCCGCCGCCCGCGTCGGCTCGCCGAAGCCCTTGGCCGTCTCGTCGTTTGTGAGGTCCATTTGCACGTCGCGCGCCGCCTGCACGAAACTCGACGTCTGCGCGCCGGACGTGACGCCGTAGCCGCGCTCCTCGGCTGCGTTGATCGTTCTCGGGGTGTAGGACATGAAAACGTCCGAGTCGCGCCAGGAATCCGGCTTCTTCTTCTTCTCCTTCTCGCCTGTGTTGGTGATTGTAACCTCGAGGCCGTCGTTGTCGTCGGAATCGTCAGAGTTGTAGGCTTCTGCGGCGCCGTCGTCCACTTCCCCATCGAGTCCGTCATTTGAGTCGTCCTCGGCACCGTTCAGACCATCCATGTCGTCGTCTGAGTCTAGCTCCTCCTTCTTGTTGCCGCGGTGTGGTGTGATGCGTTTCCTCAGCTGCTTCATGACTTCGACTGCCTCACTGCTCGACCCCTTGCCTCCCTTTCCAATCTCGAAAATGGTCTCAGCAGGCCTGAAGCCACTGATCTTGGCCATCATGTCGTTGCGGGCTTGTTCCACAGCGCTGGCGTCTTTACCAAACAGAGGATGAAGTTCGTGCCATCCCTTTGTACCCACAAGCTCTCTGGCTCGTTTTGCGCTCTGGCTTGAAGCGGAATGCCTAGTCTTCAGGTACAGCTTCTCAGCTTTTGTCGAAACTCTACGCAGCGCCTCCAAGTCGCCCTCCTCTTTCAGAATCTTGTCCATCCACTCCATGTTGATCTCGATTCTGTCTCTCTTCAAACCACCCACAACGACGTCTTCGGCGTACGATGGGTTTTCGGTCTCGTGGCCTGCAACCAGCCTGCGGCCAAGGAACAGCTGGAGATCCAGCAGATAAGGTGTGTCCAGTTCGCGCACGATACTGTATGCCCAACCTCTTTGACCGGCACGGGCCGTACGTCCGACACGATGGACAAAGACCTTGGGTTGCGGAGGGAAATCGTAGTTGATGACGTTTGCGAGAACGGGGATATCGATACCTCTGGCGGCGACATCCGTCACCACCAAAATGTTTGCTCTGCCGTTTCGGAAGTTCTCGGTGTTGATGCGACGCGCTTCTTGGTCCAGTGAACCGTAGACGTGAGAGACTGCGTAACCGGCCTTTGTGAGAAGCTGCGCCAGATATTCAACGTGATGCTTTGTTGCTGCGAAAATAATAGTCGAGTGTTCCGTGGGTTTGCCGGTGCCGCCACCCTCACGCTTTCGCTTCTTTGATGGTGCAACATCCAGGGGAACGCCGTCTGGTGTGCCTTGTGGCATCTTGATGAGGTCGTTGAGAATATGCAACAGGGAAGCCTCCTTTTCGGCTCCCTTGACAGAGAAGAAGGCACTCTCGAGATCAGGGGAAACCTTGGTCTCGGCGTCCAATCTCACCAGGCTAGGGTCTTGCAGACCGGCCCGCGCAAACTCAACCAAGGATGCTGGCAGTGTGGCGGAGAACAGTAGACTCTGTCTCGACAACGGAAGGGCGTGGAGAATCTCGGTAAGCTGGGCAGCGAAACCCATTTCGAAAAGACGATCGGCCTCGTCGAAGACGACGTACTTGATGGACGACAGGTCCAGACCCATTTCGACCTTGAGATGGAGGAAACGACCGGGGGTGGCGATGACGATATCCGGGTTCGACGACATCATGCTGAACTGGTCTTCCATGCTGTCACCACCAACGAGTAGGATGCACTTCAGGTCGGTCCCCTTGCTGAACTCCTTGACGACCTTGAGCGTCTGGAGCGCAAGTTCACGAGAGGGCGACATGATGAGCGCGCGCGTGCCGACCTTGGCGCTGTGCGCGCGCAGGCGCTCAATCATGGGAATCACGAAAGCCGCAGTCTTTCCGGAACCGGTTCTCGCCATGCCCACGACATCCTTGCGGTCCAAGATCAGAGGGATCGTCTTTCGCTGAATCGGCGTGGGGACGGAGAATCCCTTCTTCGTAATCGCGCGCAGGAGACCGGCGTTCAGACCTGCATGCCACAAAGATTAGTATCTCCAGCAAAAGAAGCAAGATCTTGTAGAAAGGGTTCGGCGACTTACCCATGGCTTGGAAACCACCACCTCTCTTTACCGACTTTCCCTTGATGTTGGACGACTTGCGGAACGAAGCAGCCTGCTTCAGCGCAATGAAAGCTTCGTCGCCATCCTCATCCTCCTGCCCCTCTTCGTGGCCGTTCAGGATCCCGTCCATGTCAAAGTCAATGTCTCCCACATCCTGACCCGCGTCGCTGCCATTGTCGAACAAGTGATCGGCGATGTCGACCTCTCCGTCGGAGGGAGTGGGAGATGCGGCGCGACGAGGCATCTTGGAGCTCTTTGTGGTTTTTCTGGCGAGGCCCCGGATTTTGCGGTCGTAGGTTTGGGCCCGTCGAAAAAGTTGATTTTCCCAAGGCGCGGGTTTTGCGAAACGGCAGAGCATCCAAGAGCTGGGCGGCGTCTTTTCGAAAATTTGGGCTTGGGCGGGACGAGAAATTTCTTATCGGATGGTCTTATCTTAGCGTCGTGGGGCAAGCGTTCGTCGGCAAGGGTCTTTAGCGGGTCCAAGTGGCTGTCACTGAGCCTCGTCTCGTGCTCACCAACCGCGCGCGACTGTCAACCTTCAACTTCCTTACATCTACAGTTCTCCTTGCCAGTCTACCGAGGTACAGCTGTCAATTTCGAATCTTTCTCAACAGACACTCGGTCATCACCATGGCCAGCGAAGACGTCAAAGAAGAGAAGGACGCTCTCGACGCGCTCGAGATCGAGGCAAAGGAGTTCGACAAGGTAATGCGACCGCCAGACAAACCACGGTGCACACCTTCCAAAGCCAAACGCTGACAATTTTCCCCTTTTCCCCGTTCTACAGGATGCAGAAATCGACAGAATCCTGAAAGCCTTCAGGCTAGACGCCTACGCCGTCCTCGACCTACAACCAGGCGTCCCCGAATCCGACATCAAAATCTGCTACCGCAAAAAGTCCCTCCTCATCCACCCGGACAAGACCAAGAACCCGCTAGCGCCCGACGCCTTTGACCGCCTGAAAAAAGCCCAGACGGAGCTCATGGACGAGAAGCACCGCGAGCGCCTCGACGAGGCCATTGCCGACGCCCGCATGCTCCTCATCCGCGAGAACAAGTGGACCGTCGACAGCCCCGAGCTCAAGACGGACGACTTTGCGAAAAAGTGGCGCAACAAGGCGCGCGAGGTGCTCATCGACAACGAGCACCGCCGGCGGCGGCAGATGAAGGCGCAGATGCAGGAGGAGGGCCGCGAGCAGAAGAAGGAGGAGGAGGAGATTGAGCAGCGGAAGCGAAAGAGGCAGCACGACCAGGACTGGGAGGCGACGCGGGACCAGCGCATCAGCAGCTGGCGGGATTTCCAAAAGGGAAAGTCGGGCGACGGGAAGAAGAAGAAGAAGATGAAGCCTATTGGTTGAAGTCTGGCATCACCACGAAAGGGGAAGGGGTTTGGGCCCTACTATGGGTTTGCATTGGTTTCTGATTACAGGCGGAAAGGGGGCTGGTGTTTTAAGGGGATCTTTCTTCACTACAGTTCGACAGGTCTCGACTACGGATTTTCGGGCACAAAGCATGTGTACAGCATGGTTTTATCAGCAAATCAGTGAGTTTGTTGTTTGTTGACCACCGCGGTTATGTCCCTAACCATTTCAGAAGTGCAATGCTCGTGTCTCCTCCCCCAAAAGTTCCCCTTATCCCCTCTCGGGGGTCATTTTTGTCTACTAGGTAAGCACCTTTCCCTCCCGTTCGTTGTATCGTGGCTATGATTTGCTTCATGATTTCAAAAACATGTACTTTTGACACATCCGCTTGAAAGCTTCGTGATATGTTAAGATCCCAGGAGTTGTCCGCCCTGCTCCTTCGAGATTCCGGTACCCAACCTCCGGATTCTCCCTCATGCCTTGTCCTTCTTCTTGTACTGAATGAACCGTCCCAGGTTCAACACAGCCTCCTCAGTACGCGTGCGCAGCTCAGGAAGAGTTCTCTTATCAATCGTTTTGACCAAAGCCTTGACCTTGGGCTGAACCGTCTCGAAGTGCTGGATAAAGTTGTCCTTCCAGAACACCTCCTTGTCGCACGGCATGT